GAGAGAGCCATGAGGCCTGGGGACAGAGGACAGTTGGCCTAGAGGGCGAGCCAGGAATCATGGCAGCAGAAAAGGGCAACATGGCTTGGGAAGGAGGGAGCAGAGCCGCGGGCTGGGAACGTGCCCGGCCTGTGGCCCGGGGTAAGAAGCTCGGTGTGGAATGGCCGTGGCAGGAACGGCTGCATGTCTGCAGCAGGCCCTGGCTGCCAGCCCAGACGCCTGGGTACTCCTGAGCCCTGGCTCCTGAGCGGGTGAGAGACCAAGTGATGTTTATCCGCCACAGGAACGTGGGTGTCACACCTCTTACAGTGAGCGCCCAGGTGACAGGCTGCTCTTTCCTGGGCCACGCAGTCTCCTGAGAGTTATCCAGTGAATGGGGGTCTGGGTTGGGGAGCACCGCCAGCAACAGCAGCCCCCACTGGAGCCGGGCCAGGGCACAGGGCTGGCATGGAGTTTTATCCATGCAGATAAAGGAAGGAGTGAGTCACAGGGAGCTCTCCAGAGGCCCTGGGAAACTAGCTCATTCGAATGCAGACAGACATCCGTCCCCATCCCTGTCCCTGTTGCTGTCACACACTGGCACATGCACGTGTATGCACGTGTGCACATGCACATGCACACATGCACACACACCCCTCCCCTCCCACTCCCTGTCCTTGATCACCCACCTCCAGTGCTTCTGGTTCCTTTCCCCATCTCAGCCCCAACTGCCCTGTCCCTGCCCACCCTCACATGGCCCCACAGGGACTGGCCCCATGTCAAAGTTGGCCATATTGGGGGAGGCAGGGAAATAGGAGGAATAAAGGAAACCCACCGAGAGTCCTAAGCCCACACCCACAAGCCTAGGTCTTAAAACAAAACCAGAGAGCAAAGAAGTCTTGGGACAAGTCTGAGAAGGAGGAGAGAACAAGGAACTAGGTAGTCTCAGTCCCAAGGAGCTTCACCAAGCCAGGGGACAGGAGCAACAGCAAAAGCATTGGTGTCCAGGGGTCTGAGGTACCTCCCATGGTTCTCCGCACCAACACCAAAATGCCAGAAAAGGAGCTCAAACTTCCAGAAGGACTTAGTTTGGAAGTTGGTTTGGAAGTTGGAGTTTGATTAGAAGAACTTCTAGGCCAAGAATGATCTAAGATAGGAAGAGATAAGAGAGAGACACTGTGGCCTCTGCTCCCCTGGTACCTCTGAGGATTAAAGAGAGTTCAGGAGGCTCTGAGGCAGGACAAGTGTCCTGATGACTCTGCAGTAGCCCCTCAGTCTGTGAATCCTGCCATATCACCTCTGTTCTCCACCAAGACCAATAGCAAAAGTCTGAGGTGCTCAATCCATACCCTAAAGCTCTCCCTCCTTACCCTACCCCTAAACCAAGCTCAGGCCTCCATCAGAATTTTACTAGGACCCAAGTCATTATGAGGGCCCAGAAAACACTACACCCTGCAAGCTTGTCCCTCACCATGGTGACTGGTGTGTGTGACAGTTGGGGCTAAAAGATGGAGGGTTCATTTACAAGTGTTCAGCCCTGTGCCTGCCACTATGGAATGTGGCCACAGACGTGCCATAATTTGTGCCCCAGAGGAACATCTAATCAGATGGGGCAGAGAGGCCTCTTGGGCATGTGCAACACACACACACACACACACACACACACACAGACACAACTGGCTTCAATGGCCACCGCTGAGGAGGGGTCTAGAATGTGGCCACGGGTACATTTGAGCCTCCCCCTCTTTGAACCTCAGGTGAATGAACATAAAACACCAGCGAATCTAGATCACGACTCAACCAACAGATCTGGGGAGGTGAGCCCAGATTCCACAGAGGGGCTAGGGTGGAGCTGGCTAGGCCATAGTGACCCCAAATTCCTCCTCCACCTCTTCCCAGGGAAATCCAGAGGCCAGGCCTAGAGGTCTGAACAGAGTCCTCCATCTCTGGCTATTCCCACCCTTGGGTGGGGTTCCCACTTAAAGGCTCTGAGACTTACCCAGGACAGAGAACTGCACAGAGGGAGACCCAGCTGTCCCACCAGCCTCCTCAGTCCTGGCTTAGGTGTCCTGCGGGCTCAGAAGGCCCCTCCCTCCAGTCCAGAGAGCCCAGGTCAGGGAAGACAGCCACCTCTCCCCAATGGGCCAGCTCCAGAGAAATTAACCCTTCCCCTGCCTTCCCCAGCACTCCAGCCCTGCTCCTACTGGGGTGGCTCTGAAACCTCACCTGAGTTATTTGTCCTTCTAAGAGTCAAGTCCCCATCGCCCTCCTCCGAGGGCACAAGAGACTCTGATCCAGGCAGGCTACTTGGCAAGCGCAGACCCGCACTTTCCTGGCTTGGCTCCTTACCTGTGTCAGGTGGCCGAGACTCTGCCTGCCACCCGATCCCCAACGACAGCGACCTTCCCCTACACCCTCCCGCAGCGCCTACCTGAAGCAGCAGTCGCCTCCTGTGCTCGGGGTCCCCGGGCTCCCAGCACTGAGCGGGCGCTGCGGCCGGGGGACTCCCGGGGGGCTGCGGGCCGCAGCGGGGCCCGGGCTCCAGAACCTCGCAGCACACCAGGCTCACGGTGCAGCCCATCCGGCTGGGCGACCGGCGGGCCCGGGACAAGGGCGCCCCGGGAGCCGACCCGCCCCCAGCCCTGGCGACGGCTCGGCCCAGGGCGCCTGCGACGTCGGGAGCAGAGCGGTGACGCCCCCAGCCCGGCCCCGCGGGAGTCCGCGCCTTCTCCGCTGCACCGCCTGGAGGCTGGGGACCGCGGGGCCCGGAGAGGGGCGGTGACACCGCGCCCGGACGCAGCCAGTGACTGAGGGAGAGATCCAAGGGCGCAGGGGGCGCAGGGGACTCGAGGAGGGGCGGCGACAGGGTCCTGGACACGGAGGCGGGGGCGGGCTAAGTTGGGAGAGTGAGAAAGAGACCCCAGTGCATCGAGAGAGGCAGGGAGCAGACACCGGGAGTGAAGGAAGGAGAGACAGAGTCAGGGACGTTGGCGACAGAGATGGGACCCAGAGCCTCTGCATGGATGAGACAGGCAGTGGGGCGGAAGGCAGACTGGACATCTCTGTGTGCTGTATTTACATGTGGTTCCTGGGACTCGGGAAAACAGATCTTGCAGGTCCCTGCTCCTCTGTTCTCCACCCCCAGTACTAGCCCCGGGTGTCCCAGACTAGAAACCAAAGGAAAGACCCCAAGAAGCAGAGCAAGCCAGGGTGGGAGGACCACAGCCCCCTAGGCAGCCCACCTGGCCCTTTGCAGGACCACATAGATTTTACTTCCATTCTTAAGGAGTGGGTACAAGGACTGGGAGGAGGGCACTTATGACAAGCACTCATGGGGAGCCTTCAGTAGGCTGAGGTGGAGAGGAGGAAGGGACAAGGGGGCCCTTGTCCTCCCACTGCCCTCAACTAGAGCCCAGCTCCAAGAAGTGACAGAGCAGAGACCCGTAGAGGGAACAGGCGACCAACGCCTCAGCCTCTTTGTGCCATCTGGTGGTGGAAAGGGAGAAAGACAGGAGCAAGAAGGAGAAGGGACTGGGAAGTTGAACAGCAGGGATGACAGACTCCAGGGGTGAGTTCAAGTTTAGCCCACAAGTGGCCCTACCCCAAGGTGTGCCTAAGGGGAGCCATTATGCTCCAGTGCCCTTGAGCTGCCTCTACCACTTCTCCCTGGCAAGGGCTGGCCCCTCCCCTTCCAGGGTGCTGCCCTGAGCCTGAGTCACTTCCCGAGGCCCTTGGCTAGGAAGTCACCAGCGACAGGCCCAGGCTGCAGAGTCCAGCTGTCCATGCACCACCACCCAGGTCTTCCCAGGTGAGCAGTAGGGAGGGTCCTGGGACCTAGGAGCAGCTGGGTAAAGGGGGTGACTCTAGGAGTCGGCAACAGAGAGACCCTGGAGAGAGGGGAGGATTTAATAGAGGATCTGGGTTGGAAAGTGCTGCCCAGACCCTCAGTTCAACCCCTTGGTGGACAATAGGAAAATTAAGGACCAAGAAAGGTGAGTGGCTTTGCCCAAGGACACACAGTAAGCAAGTAGCCGGGCCAGGTTGGAGACTCAGGTCTGTAGACTCCCAATGCTGTTCTCCCTGCACCCCATCCCGCTTCCTGCCTCCCCATTTACCTTCAGTTTCTTCTCCACTCTCCTCCACTGTGACCTACTGCTTCGTCACTCCCACCCCACCCCAAACTCCAGCAACCCTGTCTGGGAGGTAGGACCCCCGGGTTTTCTGCTCCTGCCAGGTCTTTGATGTTGGGAATCTCGGATTGAGCCCATCAGCCCTCAGGGGCCATAATGTCCATCTTGGAGTCCCAGAATCCCTTGGGAGAACAGGCCGAGAGGCCCCTGCAAGAAGGCAGCGGGACTAACACCGGGTGCCCTGCTCCTCAGCATCAGCCCCTCCCAGCTGTGGGGACTCGCTCCACCTCTGCCTCCGTCCCCTCAGGGAACACACATTTTCCACTCAGCTGGGGCCCAGGAGAGGATGAGTGTGGGTTTCAAGGATGACAACGCTCTGCCTAGACGGAGGGCTGTCCGTGGGGGAAGGAAGTGACATTCCCCCACAGAGTGTCCACATGATAGGCTCTGCTCACTCAGAGGCTCCTTACATCGTCAGGCTGAGAACACGGGCCTCTGGGCGTACAGTTCTAAGTTCAAGTTCTGACTTCATCGGTTAAACCTTTGTGATATTGGAGACTCACCCTCCACCAGGTACAAAATGGAGCTAATAACTTCCTGGGGTTATTGTAGGGATTAAACGCGACAAGGATGTCAAGCAATGAGCGCAGTGTCTAGAACCCAGGGACTGCCCAGTAAGTGGAGCCGTGGCACCATCTTTACACGCTGACCTTCAAGGAAGCTGGGTTATCCCCCACACTAGTTGACTTGCTGTGTGACCCTAGGTAAGTCCTGCTCCCTTTCCAGCTCTGATTCCTCGTTTGTGAAAGGAGAGCTGGGCAGCTGAGCCTAGAAGGTTCTTCCTGGGCTGATCTTCTAAGTCACAGGGAATTGCATCATTTCCAAGTACCCATGGCAGATGACGGGGCCATCCTCAAGGTCACCAGGGACCTGAAAGGTAAGTGTGCCATGAGAGAGTTTCTGAGGCTGAGTTGCAGGGCCAGTGAGGGCTCTCAGAAGCGTCTCCCCCCTCAGAGGCCTCGCTCGCTGATGTCTTCCTGTCTGTGTCTGTCATTCTCCCCACAGCTGCTGTCTCTGCCATCCTCCAGGGCTATGGGGATGGGCAGGGGCCAGTGACAGATGCCAGTGCTGAGTTGCACAGATTCTGCGGCTGCCTGGAGCTGCTGTTGCAGGTGGGACCCTGCCCTCCCCCAGCCCTCTCCCCAGCCCCAGGCCTGGAGCAAGGGTTTACAGATACCAGGGAAGAGCTGCAGCCTCCCTATTTTACTTTGCACTGTCCCATCTCCCTCTATCAGGAAGTTCTCCCTGACATCTAGCCTCATTCCTGGAGCTGTCGTTGCAGCCTGAGAAGGGAGGTAGAGCAAAGCTGGGTAGGATGGGACCAGGAGTCAGACATGCTGGTCTCAAGACTGAAGCTTCAGATGCACAGATGTCCTAGGACTGGCCCTTCATGATGCTGGTTAAAGTCCAAATCATAACTATCACTGAATTTTTTAAGCACTTACTATGTGCTTAAAAAGTCCTTTATTTGACTGACTCTATTTAATCCTCATTTGAACCTTCTGAGGTGATCCATGGCCTCCCTCATGCACACAAAAGCATCCTTCCTACTTCTCTGACTTCATCTTTTGCCTGATACACATCTGCACCCCTAGTCAGGAAGCATTTCTCTACATTCTTTTCCCTTCTCTTGGGCTCAGTTTGACCGGAAAGAGCAAAAGAGCTTCCTGGGCCCTCCGAAGGATTACTGGGACTTCCTCTGCACTGCCCTGCGGCGGCAGCGTGGGGACACGGAGCAGACTCGCTTCATCTACTCGCAGGAGAAGGTATCCAGGGCCAGGCGGGCGGGAAGGCTGACCTCGGAAGCATGATGCGGCTTTGGCACCAGGCTCTTTGCAAGAATGACGGGGGCAAAGGGCACGCAGCCCCATCTGCTGACCACAACCCCCTGTCTTGTGAGCCCTGCCCCCAGCACCCTGCAGCCCCATCTCCTTCCACAGCCTCCAAGTCCCACTATGCCCTTCCTGGTCAGCCACTGTGTCTTCACTCGCTGTGGCCTAATACTGCCCCCTCTCTGGCCCTCTGTGCCCTCCACAGCTGAAGACCCCTCTGGGCAGAGGCCGCGCCTTCATCCGCTTCTGTCTGGCCCATGGACAGCTGGCCGAGTCCCTGCAGCTCTGCCTCCTGAGCCCAGAGCTCATCAGGTGCGGCCACTGGGACATCCCCCCAGGGACACCATTGGAGCCCACTCCCTCCTTCATGAGAGAGCCTCCCTCGCCCCAAGATGACGAAACAAGAGTCAGAAAGGAAAGGCCAGGAAGAATGGAGCAGACGGGGTGGCCAGAACCCAGGAGTAGTGAGTGGTAGCATCATGATGGAGTGGCCTCCTGACCCAAGGCCACACCCTTTCTGGAAAAGTCCCGTGTGGTGTATAGCACAGGCTGATTCATGGAGTTTGGGGTGGCATAGCACCAGGTCACAGCCAAGGCTGGCGATCACTATTAACACAGGGAATGGTACGGCCCTCGGAGCCCTCTCTTGTGCCCTGAACTCCGGGAAGACATCCTGGACTCTCTCTACATGCTCAATGGGGTGGCCTTTGACCTGGACCTGCAGCGGCCAGACCTGGATGGTGCCTGGCCCATGTTCTCAGAGTGAGTGGGTGCGGCATCGGGTGGAGCCTCTTCCCTGCAGGCTTTCATTGCCCCCTTGCATCCCGAGCAAGCTGGAAGCTGTCGGCCTCCAGCTCCATCCCTGACCTCTGTCTGATTCTCCACTGCCCTGGCCCTCTGTGTGCCCACTGGAATCTCATGCTGTCCCAGGGCCCTGCATAGGGGATACACACTCCAGACCTGCTGGATGGTGGGTAGAGGCTGGGAGGAGGAGTGGTCAGCGGTGTTGGTGGATGGATGGAGAGCATGATAAAGTGGGAGGGGGGTAGATGACAGGGCGGTTGGAAAGATGGGACCTCCTCCATCTGAGGACCAAGCCCACCTCTGGAGTGGGGCCCAGGGTCCCCGTCCTCTTTCACTTTCAGGTCCCGCTGCTCCAATTCCAGCTGGACCCAGAGAAGAAGACCCAGAAAGACCAAAGATTCCCCAAAGGTGGTGCTTCTGTTCCTGCCTTCACTGACTGCCTCTTGCGCATCTGGCCGGGACCCCCAGACTGAATGGTAGCTGGCCTTCCCTCTGTGTACAGAGGGGACCAACAGGAGAGAGAGAGGAGCCAGTGTGTGGGCCAGGGGACCCACTGGGAGCACAGGGGAGGAGAAGGCTGCTGTTCTTGGAGTGATGGGGATACTGCGGGGGGGGGGGGGGGGAGCACCAACGCCATCTGCAGGAGCTCCTGGGGCCCAGGGAGGAGGAGGTGCTGGGAAGAAGCTTGCAGGAACAGAGCAGGGAGACAACCTGTGTTGGCCATTCTCGTTGGTCTACTTCAAGGTCACATTCACCCAGTTGAGTTCAGGGAGTGACTAGAAACCCAAACTGCCTGGCACAGAGCCAAGCCCCACCCCTTACTAACCACAGCCCTTGGGCAAGTTACCTGCCTGCCTTGTAGGGTCACAGCAAGGATGGATTGAGACACCCACGTGCAGCACAGAGCAAGGTCCTGGCTCGCCTCACCACGGGCAGCTTGTGGTCATTATCGTTTTTGTTTCCATCTTTCCACAAGCACATTTGGCATCCCCACCAGCCTCCAGGCACCAGATTCAGATACCAGGAGGACTCTGTGTCTAACCTTAAAGGGTTCAAGGTCTTGTGCAGGGAGATGGATCCTAAAGAAGCACATGCAATACATGTTAAGCGTGTGGTCACCTTCTGCATCTGGGTTTCACATCTCTGGTGTCAGCCAACTGCAGATAGAAAATACTTAGGAAAAATGATCGCTTCTGTGCCTAATACTTACAGACTTTTTTTCCCCCTTGTCCCGATTCCCTAAACCATACAGCACACCAGCTATTCACTAGCATTGACATCATTCGAGGTTTTATAATTTAGAGATTATCTGAAGTATATGAGACGATTGCATGGCTTATATGCAGTTGCTATGCCATTTTATATACAGGATTGAGCACCCATGAATTTGGGTTCCCATGTGGGGTCCTGAAACAGATACTCCTGGAAACCGAGGGACAACTATAACGACACAGATATGGACAAAGGAAGATGGGAGTACAGAGAGGGCTTCTTGAGAGATGTCACTCAGCTGGGTGTCAGTCAATTTGAGATTTTACCACAATTCTATAGAACATCTATTATTATTCCCATTTTGAAATGTGAAAGCTGAAACACAGAGTGAAGTTCAGGAGGAAAGTTTAAAGGAGAGGGGTGGGAGGAACTTAGGGGGAACAAGATCACCGTTGAAGACCCAGGTGAGGGAGGGAGACGGACACAGGCTGGAGGTGGGGAGGAAGGGGCAGGAAGACATCCTGCTGTGCTCCCTCCACATCAAAGCTGGGCTCTCCGATCACCTGGCTTGTTGCTGAAATTATTTCTGTTCTGATCAAATTCACTGTGGAAGGGCCTGGGAATCTGTATATTTAGCAAGCCCTTTGGATTGGGACTGCGACCTCTTCAGTGCACCAGGTGAGTGAATTGATGATGAGATGACGGCTTTGGGGGGCTTCTTTACAGATCTTAGCAGCATTGGGAGGCCCCAAAGGAGTCCAGCTGGAGAAGCCACTCACCACTCAAGCCAGCTGTCTACAAGATGCCCCCAGAGGAGGCCAACCGGCTGGACTTCCCAGGTCTCAGCAACACAGGCATGTTCCCTCCTGTCTGGAAAAGCAGCTAAAAGATTCCAGGAGCCTGGGTTTCCTCCAGGAGCAGGAGGAGCTTCAGCCAGACCTGGAGGAAGGAGCTCCGCGGCCCACCAAGAAATTTCTAGAGAAGCCAAGAGCCAGCATGATGCCAAAGAAGGCGGGGGCCAAGGAGGTTCAGACGGAGGTGACAGGGATGGCAGCTGGAGGCACAGGGATTCTGCCAGGTGCAGAGGTTCAGAGAACAAAAGGGGTCCATGGAGAAGAAACAGAGTGGGGTCCCACTCAGAGGTTGCTGGTCTTCGGCCCCAGAGTGAAGACGGAGGGAGCCCTAGCAGGGAGCAGGCTGGGGTGGGAGGAGCCTAACATTCTGGGGGAGTTCTGGGTCCCCCAGGACCCCGGAACAAAGGAAGGCCCCACCACAGAAGAGCCACAAGAACAAAAAGGAGTGACTGGTATGACCAGTGGGGAGGACCAAGCAGAGGAGCCCTTGCAGGACACAGTCAAGGTGAGAACTGTTGGCCTCCAGCCCTTTTTATTTTATTGAGACAGGGTCTTACTAGGTTGCTTAGGGACTTGCTAAGTTGCTGACGCTGGTTTTGAACTTGCAATGCTCCTGCCTCAGCCTCTAGAGCCACTGGGATTACAGCATGTGCCACTGCGCCTGGCTGTCCTTCCTTCTAACCTGACCTACAGATGGGGTCCCCAGTGGTAACACAGGAGCACTCCAGCCCCCAAATAATTTTCTTTCCTTCCTTCTTTCTTTCTTTCTTTTTTTTTTTTTTTTTGCAGGGGTCGGGTATCAGGGATTGAACTCAGGGGCACACGACCCCTGAGCCACATCCCAGCCCTATTTTGTATTGTATCTAGAGACAGGGTCTCACTGTTTTCCTGAGCACCCTGTCATTGCTGAGGCTGGCTTTGAACTCAAAGTCCTCCTGCCTCAGCCTCCAAAGCTGCTGGGATTACAGGCATGTGCCACCGTGCCCGGCCCACAGATCAATTTTCGTTGGCCTGCCCAGGATTATTATTTGGGGATGCCTCTTGGAAGCTCCCACCTTTCCCTACTGCTCCACACTGCCCCCACTGTCTTCCTCCATACTCTGCCTAGCCCTGTCAGCATTTGAGTTCGAGACCCCTCTCCGACAGTTCTCAGGGGCAGTCACTTGTTCTCAAGTTGGGTCTCCCTCCCTCACCATGGCAGGTACCTTCCTACTACTGCAGACCCCACTCTTGTAAATACTTGTCCCGGCGGTCACCTAAGATTGCCACCGTGCCCTCCCTCAGCCTCCTCCCTAGCCAGAGCCTTCTAGGTCCTTGAGCTCCATCCTCCAGTGAAGGAGGAAACACTGCGTGGTCCCCAGTCCTGTCCTCCCCTCAACAGCATGGCCTGGGGCCTCATGGGGAAGTTCATCAGGCCGGCTCCTTCAGCTTCCCCCTCCCCCCTTCCATCCCCCAGAACCTCAGACTTGGGCTTCAGAAGGCTGAAGAGCAGACCCAGCGCCAGGAGCAGCTACTGAAGGCACAGGAGGGGGAGCTGCAGGCCCTTCAGGAGCAGCTCAGCAGGTAACCGTGGCAACCGCGGGAGGCCGGGCTCCATGTCCTCCATCAGCACCTCCACGCAACAGCCCTGTGCGGGTTCACGTTGGGAAGCTTGTCCAGTGCGTTGCTCCTCATCACCAGGCCTTCCCACCCTCCCTCCCTCACCAACCTCCCAGTAGCCCAGGAGGGTCCTTCCATCCTGCCCTCCATCCCTCCCACCTCACTCCTGCCTCCTGCCGCTGCGTCTCCTGGGCCCCTGCCTCTGTCTCTCCCCCTCTGTCTTTTCAATCTCCTCTGCCCCCCACCCAATCATCCCCGCCACGATCTCTTTCTGTCTCCATTTGTCTCTCAATCTCTTGTTCTCTGTTACATGATCTTTTACCCTCCTGATAATCATAACCCTAGCTCTCGTTTTCCAAGCATTTCTTACATCCCAGGCTCGGTTGTAGGCACTTCCTCATAGCAACTTTCTGAAAATAAGTTCTATAAGAATTCCTGTTTTGTAAATGATTAAACTGAGGCTCCAAGGTGCGGTGCGATATAACTCACCCAGCATCAACTAGTTAGCAGAGGAGCTGAGATGGAAACCCTGCATGGGGTTCCCCAACCATGGGCTTAAACACTGCTTCCCAGCCGAGTGCTTGAGTGCATCCATCTCTAGGAATCCACAGGAGATTGGTTCCAGACTCCCCATGGATATCAAACTCCATGGATGCTCAAATCCCCTAGAGGGTAGAGGGTTTTTTTTCCCTTTCTCTTTTTCTTTTTGCAGTACTGGGAATCACATGTAGCGCTTCACACACCCTAGGCAGGTGCTCTACCACTGAGCTGTGTCCCCACTCTTCAAGTCCCTTATATAAAATGGCAAAATGGTCTGCATAGAACCTGTGCACATCATCCTACATACTTAAACCATCTTTATGTCACTTATAATACCTAATGCAACGTGACTACTAGGTAAATAGCAGTTAAACTATACTACATCATTTAAGAAACAATGACAAGAAAAAAGACTGTATGTGTCCAATGCTGACTCTTTTTTTTTTCCAAAATATCTTTGTTCCCTGGTTGGTTGACTCCACAGATATGGAAGGCAGATTGTCCTTCAGCCTCTCCATGTCTGCCCGATTATCCGGCAGCTCCATCTTCCCATCATCACCTTGAACTCAAGTCCGTTGCAACCCTTCCCCCTCAGGCTCCCCGTGACTCAGTTTCTCTTTCATGATTGCTTCAGTCAGTTTTTTTGCTACTGCAACTAAAAACAATTGTCGGTGAGGAAGAGTTCATGGGGGCTCACAGTTTCAGAGGTCTCAATCCATAGACAGCAGGCTCCATTCTCGGGGCGTGAGGTGAGACAGCACATCATGGCAAGAGTGGCAGCGGGAAGCGGCTCCCATGATGATCAGGAAGCAGAGAGAGACTCCACTCGCCAGATACAAATAGATATCCCAAAGCCACGTCCCCAATTCCCACCTCCTCCAACCACATCTCACCTGCCTCCAGTTACCACTCAATTAATCCCATCAGGGATTAATTCACTGATTGAGTTAAAGCTCTAGTAACCTTCTTGCATTGTTTCACGAATAAGCTTTTTTGTTCTCTGTTACATGATCTTTTACCCTCCTGATAATCATAACCATAGCTCTTATTTTCCAAGCATTTCTTACATCCCGGGCTCGGTTGTAGGCACTTCATGTTATGATTTGTATGTGAGGGACACCTCACATACAAATCATAACAAGAATTGTGTGTATGTGTGTGTGCGCTTGCGCATGTATTGCTGGGGATCGAACCCAGGGTCTCACACATGCTAGGCAATTTCTCTACCACGGAGCTACATTCTCAGCCCCTTTGAAGTTTGGTTTTGAGACAGAGTTTTGCTAAATAGCTGAGCCTGGCCTTAAACTTGGGATCCTCCTGCCTCAGCCTTCTAAGTAGCTAGGATTACAGACGTGTGCAACCACAGCCAGCTCGTACTTTATGTTTTAAAAATATGTCCACCTTGCAAAGACCCTCCTGGATGTGACTCAGACTCTTTGTGTCTCTCTCCCTGGTCTCCATTTGTCTCAGCCCGCCTGCCCGCCTCTGTCTCTCTTCCATGTGGCTCACACCTGCCCTGGGCCAGGGCACCAGTCCAACCTCCTGTAGAGTCCCAGTCGCTGTGATTCAGACTGAATCACTGGGAAATCTATAGACTGTCTGCTTAACAGCAAGAGACAGGCCCAGGAGCCCAGAAACCTCCCCCCAGGGTTCCTCCCACCACATACTCAGCTGAGCCCGCTGCCTTTGTCAGCAAATATTCCAATGATTCAAGCCCTAAGTGAATGTAGGAGCCGTGGCCACCCAAGAATCCTTTGTAGGATTGAGAAAGCTGGAAGAAGCAGCTGGGTGGCTCCAGGGAGCTCAGGCTCCCTGTGACTAGGGGCCCTGACATGAGCTTGGTGCCTGCGTTCAGTCATTCCACAAACGCTCGAGACCCACTCGAGCCAGGCCTGTTGTGGTACAGGAATCACTTCCGTGGGCAGAACACAAATGGCGGCCTTCCTGGAGCTTCCACCCAGAGAGAGAGACAGGCCGTGAACCTGATAAGAAGCACAGCACAGGGAACACGACTGATGTGAATTCTCAGGAGGAAAATAAGGCAGGGAAAGGGAATCAGGTGTGTCAGTGCGAAGCTTTAAATAAGGTGGTGTGGACAGGGAGGGCCTCTCTGAAAGGTGGTGTTTGCATAATGAAAAAAGGGAAAAGTGACACATTCAGGTCTAGGGTAGGCGGACGCCAGGGCATCCTCTGATGCATCCAGGCAGAGGATATTGCAAGAGCGAAAGCCTTGAGGTGGGAGAGTGACAGCGGGTGCTGGGAACATCACAGAGGCTGTTCTGGCCCAGTGGGGCGAAGAGGGGAGGGGATGAAGGACAAGGTCCAGTGGGCAAGGGAGTCAAGTTGGGGAAAGCCTGGTAGGTCATCAAAATGTCCTTGGCTTCAACTCAGAGTAAGTCGGAAGCCATTGAGAGTTCAGAGTAAAAGAGTGACGGGATCTAACTTTTTTCTTTTTCATGTCAAATTGAATTTATATGCTTTTTCAAATGTTTAGCAATTCGATGGTTTTTAGTATATTCACAGAATTGTGCAACCATCAACACGATTTTAGAATATTTTTATCACCCCTAAAAGAAACCCAGTGCTCAATAGCAGTCACTTCCCAAACTACTTTCTTTTTTTAAATATTTTTTTAGTTGTAGATAGACACAATATCTTTATTTATTTATTTTTATGTAGTGCTGAGGAGGGAACCCAGTGCCTCATGCATTCAAGGCATGTGCTCTACCACTGAGCTACAACCCCAGCCCTACAAACTACTTTCTTCCTCTATAGATTTGCCTATTCCAGACTGCTGTGTGTTCTATTTTATTTATTATTATCTTAATTATTATTATTTTGCACTGGGCATTGAACCCATAGGTGCTTAACCACTGAGCCACATCACCAGCCCTTTTTTATTTATTTATTTTTTTAATTTAGAGACAGAGTCTCACTGAGTTGCTTAAGGCCTTGCTAAGTTGCTGAGGCTGGCTTTGAACTCCCGATCCTCCTGCATCAGTCTCCCAAACGACTGGGATTACAGGTGTGTGCCACCAAGCTGGCTGCCATATGTTTTAAAAGGTCCCATGGAGCTGGACCGTGGGTGAGCAGGGCTGGGCACAGATAGACCTCCAGGAAGCTTCTGTCCCCCACAAGGGAGAACAGAGGTGCCCAACTGGGGCTGGGGCGGCAGGGGAGATGCAACTGCTGCCTTCTGGATACGTTTTGAAGCAGGACTTCCTGAGGGACTGGCTGGGGGGATGCTGAGAGAAAGATGGACGTCAAGAATGGCTGAGTTTTTTGACCCAAGGGACTGGAAAGCCAGAGTCGTCATTAACCCAAGTGGGGCAGGCTGTGGCAGTGCAGGTGGTGGGAAACGCTTGGGAGCTTCCCTGTAAACAGGTAAAGTTGGGGACACCTGTCAGACAGCCACATGTGGCCGTTGGGCAAGAAGCTGGGTGTGGAGTTCCAGAGAGAAGCGGGGCTAGAGATGTCAGAGCTGGGAAGAGCAGATGGTAATAGCAGCTCCAGAGCCTAGAAGAGGACCTGCCGCCCGAGCCCCAAAGTCCAGAAAACCAAGGACAGAGCTCACTGCCCGGCACAGGCATGGTGGGCATCAAGCTGGGGATGGGGTCTCACCAGCAGCCAGCGGAAAGGCCACAGAGCCCATTTAGTCCATCAACTGTATTTATTGTGCCTCTCTGGCCTTGAGCAGGTTGACAGCCTGTGTCTTTTAGAAAGACCTGGAGAGACTGGCAGGAAACTAACAGAAATACAGCATCAGGCAATAACAGATGATGGGGAGAAAAATAAAGCCAGGGAGGAAGGTAATGGAAGACAGGGCTGTCACTCAGATTTGGGGTTCAGGAAGCCATCTCCAAAGAGGTGACATCTGAGCACAAACCCCAGCCATGAGAGACTGTACTGCACCCACACCCACACCCAGGGTGCTGTGGGTCGGGGAGAGGAGATCCAGAGGTCCAGAAGATGTGGCCAGAGCAGAGAGAAGGGCGGGTGGTGGCCAGGAGCCTGGAAGAGCCAGGTGACACTCTGGGATTATGAGACCCTGGAATTATTCCCCGAGGATTTTGAGTGGGTGCAATTAAAAGGACAGACTGAAGGGGGCGGGGCTGAGCCCAGGCTAGACACACAGGCAGCCACTGCAGACCCCCCAGGCAGCCCCAGGACCCACCAGCAGCTGGGAAAGTGCACTTGGATCTGAGATATGTGGCTTCCCACACTTCGTGGCTTTGAGGCTGTGGCCCTGGGACAGTGGCCTCCCCTCCAGGGTTGCCGGTCCCTGATTGGCAAAAGGAGGCAGTGGGGTCTCTAACGTTCCTCCTTCCAGCTCAGGGCTCTAGGGGGCCATCTTTCCAAGCTGTGTGGTTCCCGCTGCCCTCTGTGTAAAACCTCCAGGCCACGGAGATTAGGACAGGCACACACCAGGAGAAGGGGGGGCAGGGGGGCATCTCCCTCCACCCTCAGGTGGCAGCTCTGAGCTCCCTTGAGGCCTGTCAGGGGTATAAGGAGCCACCCCTCCCTCACCTGCTGTCCACTGCACTGGTGTCAGGCCCTAGTGATGAGGGCCCTGTGTGGACGAGAGTGTGGGAGGCAAAAAGAGTTTGGAGCCGGACAGGCCTGTGTGCAGATTCCTACTCCCTCCGCTTATCAAGCCGTGTGACTCTGGACAAGTGTCACTCCCTTTCTGAGGTTCTAATTTCCCGTCATAAACTCGAGATCATATTACTTTTCTCATCACATGATGAAAAGTAAATGAAACAATGCTATACAACAGTAAGAGGGTGCCTGGCCTATAGTAGGTGCTCAAGAAACTTTCATTCCTTCCGTGTCCCCTCCTGCACAGCCCTCCTTGGCTTCTGACAACACTGGCCTTCTTTCAGTTCCTCAAACAAGCCGAGCTCTTCCAGCTTGCAGACCTTTGCACAAGCCTGTCTCTGGCTCCTGAAGGCCAAGTTCTCCTCTGTTAGGTCCACTTCGATGTCTGTGTCTGAGACGCCTTCCCCCAGACCCTGTCTGGTCTCTGCCTCGGTCCCTCCTTGATCTCCGTCATACACTGATCAGTGGGTTTAACGATTTAATTGATTTATTGGTCCACCACTTGTTTAACTGTTCCACGGGACCCTGGGCCCTGCTCCACTCCTGGCACCTAAAATAATCACTGGCACACACTAGGTGCCGCATGAGTTTTCTCTCCCACCCCAAAGATACGCACCACCGTGGGCGCATAGGACCTGGGATCACTTAGCCTGTAAATTGGCTCAGGAAAATTCAAGTCAGCAGCTAAGAAACGAGGAAGCTGAAGTCAAGAGTGTTGTTAAAAGTCCCAAGGTGACCTTCAGCAGGCCTGAGCAGCAGAACCCCACTTCAGTCTGCAGTGACTGGCCTTGGTGGAATCTCAGTGGCTACCTAGTGTCAGTTTGATTTCAGGCCCACCCACACAGCACCCTAAATGGCCATGTTTCAAAAATTAATGGCTCTGTTTTTGGTCAAACCTCTTCCCCTCCAACATGCTGAAGCCCAGGGGAACCTACACACATGTGCCCACCCAGAGACATCCAGAGAGCGTGAGACCCTCCCCAGCATCTACCCACCATCAGGACACCCTCCAGACGGAGCCAGGGAGAAAGGGATGGGACTTTTTAATGTCCAAGTCAGTAGACTTCTTGGAATGTTCTAGAAAACCACTAAAGACAAAAGGAAAAGACAAGAATAGAGCTGAGACAGTTCCAAGCCCAAAATTGAAACAGAAATTTAGGAAAGCCATATTTTTACTATTATTTTTTAAATTGGAAAAAAAAAAGTGACATAACTTTAAAATAACTTTTCAAAGCAAAAAAATCACCCCAAAGCCTACACTGGTCCCCCGCTCCTTACATGATTGTTTCCAGCTGGACACAGTCCATCCTGCCTGGGTTCCCAGGCACACACCTTGCCTCAGAAGGTTGCCATGCTGTGAACACACCTTTCAGGAAAACTTCACTTTTAAATGGAGATATTTTAAAGGAAAAGGAATAAGGGGGGAATGGAAATGTTGGCAAGTGGCCCCTGAAGGAACGCAGCTAGCCCGTCTTTTCATTTCTCTAAATGATCGCTGAAGAGTCGCCTACAGGTGTCAGACCTCACACGGGCTCAGCTCAGTGTTGGTGAGTACGTGTGGGTGTGTTGTGCACCGTGCACACCCACACCCATGGACTTCGGTTGCCACCAGCTCCCTCCCCGCAGGGGGCTCCCTGGCAGCCAGAGGCCCAGCCCGGCTCAGTGGCAGAGGCTGAGCCTTCTCCCTCAGGACTCGGTCTTCCTTCTGTGCACAGATGTCAGGAGGAGAGAGCCCGGCTGCAGGCAGAGCTGGAGCAGAAGCACCAGGAGGCTGAGAGGAGGGACGCCCTGCACGAGGAGGAGCTCGGAGGGCAGCGGGACCTGGTCCAGGCCATGAAGATGAGGGTGCTGGAACTGATTCAGTAAGGACGGGCAGGAGGGAGGGGCTGGGGTGCCGAAGGAGGAAAAGTAAGGGGTGTGGAAAGTGGACAGGAAAACTATCCCAACCACAGCTCTCAAGCAGGATTCTAGAGATCCCACAGTGCTATCTTTATATCCCTGGATGTTCCTTTACAGATGAGGAGACTGAAGGTCAGAGGGGCTGACTTGGTCACCAAAGACAGCATATAGGTTTTACAGAGTCCCCTGAAAATGAGGCCTCCCCTGCCTCCACATACACACCCCTACTGCAATTAGGAGAAGAGAGGGGAACTCATGGGTTGAGAAGGAATTAGGGGAGGGAGGAAAAGAAACACTGGGATTAACCAAATAGTCACATGTCCCACACCTGCCTGCCCACAGGTCTTCCTCAGACCCCTGGGCCCGTGGGCCTGACTCCAGTCAGCCATTCTAGGTTCCAGAGGCCAGGGTCACCAGGTCCATTCCGACCACTGTGCTCTCAGAGAGTGGGGGTGGGGCTGTGAAGCACCGCTTCCACCTTTGAGTCCAATAAGGAGATAATTCACACATGTGTTATCCTTTGGTGTAGTTGAGGGGACAGGAGACTCAGGTTGGGCTCAGGTTCCATTAAAATTAGAAGGTTGTTGGGAGGTCACCCAGAATGGAATTCTCTTGTGGAAACTCCAAATATTAAAGCTGAGAAAGACAGATCAACTTGGAAGGCACAGACAAATGATTTAAGGAAAGAGTTCCTCCAAGGTGTCTATTGGGCAAGAGGAAGGGAGATAGAAAAGGTTAACAACCTCTTACCTCACCAAAGAGCTTAAGATAGGGCGGGGGTTGTGGCTCAGAGGTAGGGCGCTCACCTAGCACGTGCGAGGCCCTGGGTTCGATCCTCAGCACCACATATAAATAAATAAAATAAAGGTATTGTGTTCAACTACAACTAAAAAAATAAATATTAAAAAAGAGTTTAAGGTAGCTAACAAGAAAAATCACGTACATGAGATTGCTAAGAAAAAAGTAGAAGATTAAATGGAAGATGAAAAGAAGGAAAAAACACTCTGCGGAGCTAGGATGTATATTAAGATTAGGGTTAGAATTCATCTCTAAGCATCTTTGTAGCAGGATCAAAAAGGAAAAGACAAGGAGAGAATTGCCTAACGCTCACTATCCGTTCAAAGGAAATATACTAGATATATACACTGATATATATTACATGGACTAGTTTTTTCTGATATTAAAGACATTAATCAGGTGTATTCAGGGAACTCCAATCTATATAATACAAGCTTCTGGCAGAAGCTTTATGGAAGACAGGACTCTGTTCTCCATCCTGAGAGCTCACCATAATGAGTGTAAGAGAATAAACCTTACAATAGAGAAAAGGAGCTGGACTGACCAAAGGGGAGAGATTCCAGCTCATTTCCAAAAGCTGGGAAATGGATGGCTAAGTGGATGCTGTGTGAAGCCCCAGGTAGCCCTCGAAGACCTGGAGATCCCCGGACCCCGTGGTGAAGGAAGAGGAGGGGATAAAGTCATTAGTGAGAGGAGTGTACGTCCCCCCTCCTCTGCCTGCCTCCCCCCCCCCACAGAATACCCAGCAGCAAATAATCGACAGGTCCTCTCTAAAGAAATTTAGGTGTCCCAAGTAGAAGACCAGATTGTAGTGGCATTTGGGAGTCTAGTACACTAGGTAACTCCCTGCCAAGTGCCCTTGAAAGGGAAGCCACCTGTCATTCAGCCCTGTCCAATACCTGGAGCACCAATCCGCTTCTGTTGCCTCTTTCTCAAACATAAATGACAACCCAGGCTTTGAGGAGAGTCTAGAACACAAAAGGGAGAGAGGAAAATCAACAAACCAAGGGCAAAGTGTCTCCCCTAAAACAAGGTGCTGTGAAAGAGACATGTTCTCGGAAATTAAAAATATGGTTGCTAAATACCTCTTAATATTCACTAAAAGAATCGAAAGAGAAAAATGAGGCAGTCTCTCAGAAAGAATGGAAAGCCCAGAAAGTTGGAATTCATGGGAGAATTAGAGACATAAAGAATCAGTCTAACAGTTCCAATATCCTCACCCACATACAGAAGTTCCTAAAAAGGAGAGTAAAAACAATGGACAGTGTCAAATAAAATTTGACAAAGGTGAAAATGTGAATTTCCAGGCTCTCACAGACATAGATCTTCAGATGTAAAGATTTCCCTGAAAGATCAGCACAAGAAATGAAAAACAAAACGTAAAACAAACTAAACCTACACTTAGATACAATCGTGAGAAATTTCAGTCAAACAAAGATAAAGAAAATATTTCCAAACTGTTTGGAGGAAACCACAAGTCACATATAAAAGAAGTAGAACCCAATGCAGGCCAAGAGTCCATGACATAATACTTCAAGTTCTAAGAAAAGCTGACTTTTGCCCTAGAATTCCAGGCCTAGCCAAACCTTGAATTAAATGGGGAAGGAATTGGAGAAAGACATTTATCAGACAGAAAGGTCTTAGAAAATTCACCTCCCACACAGCCTTTCATAGGAAGTTAGTTGAGGATGTGCTCCAGGAAAACAAGGAAGTAAGCAAAGAAAGGAGAAGATGTGGAATTCAGGGAACAAAAGTTCTAGCCTAGGAGAAAAGGAAAGGAAATTCCCAAGAAGACAAGTGGGCAGCAAGTTCAGGGAGCTCTCTAGATTGTAAGAGAGGAATCTAGAAGAAGGTCTCTGGGGAAGAGAAGCAAACGTGTATTTGCTATGGTAGAGAATTGTTGGGAGGGCACTATAGGTAAAAGGCAATTCATGCAAAGAATAAAGAAAGGCAGTTAAAAACTCTGAGAAAAATAAGTCTTTCAAGAATGGAAATATGAGGGAGCTGGGTACAGTTGGCACATGCCTGTAATCCCAGCAGCTCGGGAAGCTGAGACAGTAGGATCTTGAGTTCAAAGCCAGCCTCAGCAATGGCGAGGTGTTAAGCAACTCAGTGAGACCCTGTCTCTAAATAAAACACAAAATAGGGCTGGGGATGTGGCTCAGTGGTTGGGTGCCCCTGAGTTCAATCTCTGAAACAGAAGGACCACATGTTCAAGGCCAGCCTGGACAACTTAGAGAGATTCTATTTCAAAATAAAAATAGAAAGGGATGAGATATATCTCAGTGGTAGGGTGCTTGCTTAGCATTCACAAGGCCCTGGATCCAATCCCCAATGCTGAATGAATGAATGAATGAATGAGTTAATTAATTAATTATAGAACACAACTTATAAATGATAGAACACAACTTATAAATTATAGAATACAATTCTTTGGGACATAATATGTATATATATATATATATTGTCTAATAATGTAAACACAATTCATTAACTTTTTTTCAACCTTAGAATCAAATTAAAGACAAAGCATAGGAGGCAATTATAGAAACATGAATGCTATCACCTTAACAACATTAAGTATAGAGGATAATCCAATAAAGGTTCTGTGGAGACAAAATGTTTGATATTTGTGTTGACTCCGTGGTAGCCACAGATCACATGTTGAGATGGGGCACCTGAAATATTGATCCGGTGCAACACAGGAAAGAAGGTTTTCATTTTATTTAATTTTAGCTCAGTTGGACACATGTGGCAAGTGGCTACCATATTGTATGTTTTAGGAATAGAAGACAAGTTAGGAGGAGAAGGAAGGAGAAGAGATGAGGGAAGGGGAAAGGGCAACATCATATTACTGAACGGGAGTCATAGATAGAATGAGAAAAAAATATGTGAGTACATTCTGGAAACTTCTAATGGTAACCAACAGAGGAACCAAAAATAGGGATATAACTCCATTGGAGGAAGGAAGAGAAACTGGCCAGGATGGTAATAAATAAGCTAAATGCTCTGCTGTCAAGGGAAGGGCCCCAGAGCAACTATTCTCTACTGAAGGAGGGAGATATGGAAGTTAATACCAAAAAGAAAAAAAAAATCTGCAAGAATGAGTTTCAACTGAAAACAGAAAGGAGGGGGAGGTGCCAGTGTCTTTTAATATGTGCCCTCTGTGCTATTTGAGTTTTAAAATGTGTATATGTATTATTTTGACAAAATTTTAAAACAACTGATATTTCTAAACATCCTTTAAAAAAAAACAAAACAGTGAAGATAGTTTTGCAAGGGCAGACACGGATAAATATATGCCAGTTTGTTTCAAGTGCCAAATAAAAGGTGAAGTGGGCCTTAAGTGCTGTAGGCACCTGGAGCCAGGACCACAGGGGCTTCTGTGACCAAGGGGTGCACTGGGAGGAGGTGAAGGAGTTCTTGATCTGGGTCACGTTCTGCTGGGAGCCGGGAGCTGGGTGTCACCATCCAGATTCTCCAAGAATGAACTCACCCAGCTCTGGTGTGTCTCACTCCTGTTCATTTTTCTCTCTCTCCTCCCGTCTCTGTCTCTGTCACCGTTTGTCTCCGTGTGTGCCTGCGTCTGTGTTCTCTGTCTTTCTCTCCCTCTACATTTGTGTCTCTCTCCTTCTCTGTGCGTCTGTCCCCTCTCCAACTCTCCAACGTCCTTTCTCTCTCTGAATGTCTCCCATCATCCACTTCCCTCCTCATTTCTGTCTCCCTGCCCCTTGTCCCCATCTCACTTTGTCTTTCTGTGTACCTGGGTACACCTGCCTCTGTCACCCTCTCCATCCCCCTCTTCCTCCTTCTCTGCCTCCATGTTCCTCTTTCTGCCCCTCTCTGTCCCTCCATCCGGGTCATCTCCTCCTTCCTGTCTCTGCCTCTGCCTCCGCCCTGTCCCCCCGTCTGTCAGTGAGAAGGACCGCCAGTGGCAGAGGCTGCAGCAGCTCTCCTCTGTGGCTCCCGCCGTCTGCGTTGGCTGCAGCAAGGTCTTCAGCAGGCTGTCCCGGCGGTATCCCTGCAGGTACCAGGAAGGACACAGACTCTTTCCTCTGGGACAGTCCACTTTCCACCAGCCCACAGTCCCCTCTGCACCCTAGGGAGAGAAGGAACAAAGGAATCGGGCATTTATAAAAGGCCACTTACACCTGGCCACTCGTTCACCCCACCTGGCCTCGGACACTAAGCTGTCATGATCAAGAACATGGGGAAGGGGCCAGAGAGGGAATGGATCCTGGGTGACAGGATTGTATCATCTTCAAAGGACAGACCATGGGCTCCTCATCTGGGAGAAGGGTTCCTGCCCCGAGGGAGCTGCTCTCCTTCCCTTCCTCAGATGTCCTCTGCCTTCACTGTGGCAGGACCAGCAGAGCAAGAGGGGGACATGAGCCATCAGGAGAATCTGCCACTTGGAGTTGAGGGTCCAGGGAGGTCAGGCATCAGAATTCCCTTTAGGAAAGGGGAGACTTCTGAGACAGACCAAGGGCCATCCTGCTGGGAGATGAAAAGCCCTGGCACACACCCCCGTGCTTCCTCGGCCAGCTGCAGCGTCCACCCCAGGTTGCCCTGTCTCTGCTCCCCAGGCTCTGCGGAGGCCTGGTATGTCATGCCTGCTCTGCGGATTACAAGAAGAAGGAGCGCTGCTGCCCACCGTGTGCCCAGGGAGGAGAAGCCCAGGTCACCTGAAAGAGCAACCCAGGATCAGCCACCCCACACCTACAACCCCACCCCAGTCTTCTCCCTTCCCTGCTTCTTCCAAGTCCTCTGGTCTGTCGGGCCTCATGTTCTAGAAGCTGGTGAGCAAAGCAACAGCACCCCAGTGTAGGGACAGCCGCAGCCGGGGTGACAGTCTGAAGACATTTCTAGCCCTGCATGTCCCACATGGATGAGCAGAGTAGCACATGCCCCTGGCTCTCAGGGCTTTGCCACTAATGTGAGGGAGGTGGCCTACAGCCTGTCTACAAAGTCCTTCAAGGCACAGAAAATCCATGGCCATACTTAGAAGCCCAGGCCCTGATGGTTCCCCGGCACCTCCCCCCTCACCCAGCTGCGCTGCCCACCCCATGCACCAGGAGTGAAGCTTGCGCAGATGCCGCTTCTTCAGTAGCTTCTGATCTAATCTGCTTCACGGATCTGTGTTGGATTCCTTTTTGTTTTAACTTTAACAGATTTATTGAGGTGCTACTGACATATAATAAACATGATGGAATTTTTGCATTTTGATACATCTGAGGAACTGTCACCACAATCACTTCCATGTCCATCAGCCCCAAGGTTTGCTCACACCCTTTCATGATCGCTGTCCCCCTCCAAGCCCAGACCACCACCAGCCCTGCTTCCTGTCACCTCAGATTAATATGTGTTTTCTAGAATGCTATATAAATGAAACCATACACTCTTTCCTCTTCCTTGTCTGCATTCCTTCATTCACCTTCATTATTTTGAGATTCATCCAGGTTCTTGCAAATATCAATAGTTCTTTTCTATTATATTCTATTCGGCCGAATGGATATGCCTCAATTTGTTTATGCGCTCACCTGTTGCTTCATGCTGGAGTGGTTCCCAACTTGGGACTATTACAAATAAGCTTCCTCTAAGCAGCTGTGCAGGCATGCAGCTCTCTGTCACTTGCTGTCAACAGTATGGAGACTTGATGGGCCCCTGGCTAATAGTGCCTGGAAGGAGGGACTGAGTGCCGCAGTCCAGCTGCAGCAAAATAACCAGGGGGTGACCAGCAACTTGTGTACATTGATACAGCAGGAGTGGGAGCCATTTATTGTAGGACAGGAGTGGTATATAGACATTACACACAGCTTATCTTAATTAACATAAACTAGATACAGCAGTCGACCAATAAGGAATCTCCACACTTAATGGCTCGCTGGTAAGATCATTTCCCCTGTACTATCCAAGAAGTCTTATGCAATGGGTATGTCATTCACTAATTGTGGCGTTTCTGAGAACACTGTTTCAGAAGCGTGGGCCCCACCTTATGACAAGGCCATCAGCTGCGCTTCCCTGGTTCTAGGGCACACTGAGTGCCCCAGACAGGTGTCCATGCTGTCCCCATCTGCTCTGCCTTACATAGCCTCTGCAGTCATTGTGCAATTCTGTGGCTCTGACCAGAGCCTGTGGATGGCCTCTCGGGGTCACCAGAGTTGCATCCTGTTGCCTTCATATGGAGCAAGAATTTTGCAACAGCAGTTTCTGCCCTGGAGAGCTAGTGAGAACTTCTCTTTGACAAACGCTGTAACAAGGTGTCCGAGGTTAGTAGGAGCTCCAAGAGCAGTCAAGGTAACAGAATCACCCTAAAGCGGAGCAGTTCCTTCTGGAGAACTGACTGACCCACACAAATTTGGCAGAAAAACAAAAATTTGTATTAGCAGGAATTCCAGCACACAGAATTCAGACCTTCCTGATAAACTGATGAAGGTGAGGTCACCAGCAGAAGCCCATTTTCAAAGAAGAAGCAAGATGCTCTTGGAAGAGAACCCATCACAGGGGAATCTAGGGCCAGGATGGGGGGGAACTTGACCTCTTCCCCATTTGGAAAAAGGAAAAGGCAATGCTGAGTCCCAGCCTCCAGCTCAACGTTGCCCCCTGCAGAATTCAATGGAGGGCAAAAAAGCTCTAAATAAGAATCAGAAAATTTTGTGACACTCTGTGGACCTTGTAGCAGAGGGTTCCACAGTGGTCACTTTAGACTACCCCATCAGCTGCCACTGTAAGTGGCCCCAGGGCACATTTCCAGTCCTAGCAGTGTCCACAGGAACACGTGGGAGACACTCCCACAGACTCCCCCAAATCCCTGAGGAGTCTCTGCAGGGACTGAAGCCCTGCGTGAGCGCGTGGGGTCTAAGACGGATAGAGAATGTTGTCGTCATGACTTCATTTGTGCTCAGAATCTAGGGATGCCCTGGGAAATCTGGGCAACGAAATTACATAGTTTTTAAAATTAGATGACAACAAGATATCCCCAGGCATATCAGTTTCTCCAAACTGTTGAGGCTTTTCATTATCAATAAACAAAAATGTATTAAGTATTCATAATACACTTCACACTGCGGTTGGTTTGGAGACATGAGATAAATATATATATATATAAAATCACTGCCTTCAAGACATGGAAGAGGAAACAGACAAACAGATGACTGACTACAAACCCCATAACAACCCTATGCAGTGTGTCTTTCCAGCTGGATGTGGTGGCTCGTGCCTGTAATCCCAGTGACTCAGGAGCCTGAGACAGGAGGATAGCAAGTTTGAAGCCAGCCTGGGCAACTTAACAAGACCCTGTTTCAAAATTAAAAAAAAAAAAAAATAGGGCTGGAAATGTAGCTCAGTGGTAGAGAGAGTGTTTGCCTAGCATGGGCAAAGCCCTGGGTTCAATCCCCAGTGCCAGGGTGGGATGGGGGGACAAAAAAACTCCTGGTTGAAAGCAGAAAGAAAATGGAGAGTTAGTCAACCAGACAGAATGGCTGAGGAAGAGCATTCCAAGGACAGGGAAAGCATGCCAAGATCCCAAGAGAAAGAGAACAGCCCCCGGGGAACTGACAGCAAGCGACTCCCAGTGACTAGCATTAAGGGTTCTGGGACATGTTCTGAGCTAACGGGGCTGCAGAAGTAATAAGGATCAGCTGCAGGGACACAGTGTGCCCAGCTCAGAGCTGGAACCCAAGGGCAACAAGGATCCTTGAAGGGTTTTACAAGGGAAAGAAGGTGATCAAATTCACATTGTGGAAAGACCATTCTGTGAGCAGAGTGGAGGGTGAATTGAAGAGGGAAAGGCTTGAGGCGGAGATGACTTGAGAGGAGATGGAAGGAGGGAGAGAGGAGGAGCAGCGGCTAACAGTGCCGAGCACGTTTGAGTGCCCTCAATCAATCCCCATAACAACCCTAGTGTCTTCTCATTATGCCCATTTCACAGATGATGAAACAGAGATGCAGTGAGATTAGAACTCCCGCCTAAGGTTCACAACTAGGAAGCAGCTTCTAATTCAGCCAACCCAGCTCCAGAGCCCATGAGCATTGCATGGCTGTTTTTTTTTTTTTTATTGATTTTATTTTTTTTTTTAAATACACAACAGCAGTGGAATGCATTACAATTCTTATTACACATACAGGGCACAATTTTTCGTATCTCTGTATATAAAGTATGTTCAAAGTATGTATATAAAGTATGTTCAAAGGCCAATTTACACCTTTATACATGTACTTTGTGTTTTTTGCATTACAATTCTTAATACACATATATATCACCATTTTTCATATATCTGTTTATATATAAAGTACGTTGACACCCAATTCAAGTCTTCATACATGTACTTTGTATAATGATGTCCATCACATTCCACCATCCTTGCTAATCCCCTGCCCCCTCCCTTTCCCTCCCACCCCTCTGCCCTATCTAGAATTCATCTA